ATTCCCAAAATTTCCCCCAGTTCCCAAATCCGGGGCTTCTCCAGTTCACAAAATTCCCCCCAATTCCCTAATCCACCCCCCGCCCAATTCCCAAATTCAGCTCTCCCCAGTTCCCAAAGTTTCCCCCAATTCCCAAACCCAGGATATTCCCAATCCCCAAAATTCCCCCCAGTTCCCAGATCCAGGATTTCCCCAATTCCCAAAATTCCCCCAAATCCCGGATTTCCCCAGTTTCCGGATCCGGGATTTCCCCATTTTCCAAATCCAGTCCCCCCCCAATTCCCAAATCCCAGGATATTCCCAATTCCCAAAATTCCCCCTAAATCCTGGATTTCCTCAGTTTCCGGATCCGAGATTTCCCCATTTTCCAAATCCAGTCCCCCCCCCAATTCCCAAATCCAGGATATTCCCAATCCCCAAAATTCACCCCAGTTCTCAAATCCAGGATTTCCCCAATTCCCAAATCCGGAATATTCCCAATCCCCAAAATCCCCCCCAGTTCCCAAATCTGGGATTTCCCCAGCTCCCAAATCCAGGATATTCCCAATCCCCAAAATTCACCCCAGTTCTCAAATCCAGGATTTCCCCAATTCCCAAATCCGGAATATTCCCAATCCCCAAAATCCCCCCCAGTTCCCAAATCCAGGATTCCCCCCGTTGCCGTTGGGGTCCCTCCACGTCCCCTGGTGCCCCCCAGGACCGGGATCGGGATCGGGATCGGCTCCATGGACACCTTCCAGTCCCCCACGCCCTCATCCCGCCGGGACAAAGAGGGTGAGGAACGGCGGGACGGCCCCGGAATCCCCCCCCAGTTCCCAAATCCAGGATCCCCCCGTTGCCGTTGGGGTCCCTCCACGTCCCCTGGTGCCCCCCAGGACCGGGATCGGGATCGGGATCGGCTCCATGGACACCTTCCAGTCCCCCACGCCCTCATCCCGCCGGGACAAAGAGGGTGAGGAACGGCGGGACGGCCCCGGAACGATCCCAGAGGGATCCCGGGGATGGTCCCAAAGGGATCCTGGGGATGGTCCCAAAGGGATGGGAATGGTCCCAGAGGGATCCCGGGGATGGTCCCAGAGGGATCCCGGGGATGGTCCCAAAGGGATCCCGGGGATGGTCCCAAAGGGATCCCGGGGATGGTCCCAGAGGGATCCCGGGGATGGTCCCAGAGGGATCCCGGGGATGGTCCCAAAGGGATCCCGGGGATGGTCCCAGAGGGATCGATCCGATGGTCCCACAGGGATCCTGGGGATGGTCCCAAAGGGATCCCGGGGATGGTCCCAGAGGGATCCCGGGGATGGTCCCAGAGGGATCCCGGGGATGGTCCCAAAGGGATCCCGGGGATGGCCCCAGAGGGATCCCGGGGATGGTCCCAAAGGGATCCCGGGGATGGCCCCAGAGGGATGGGAATGGTCCCAGAGGGATCCCGGGGATGGTCCCAGAGGGATCCCGGGAATGGTCCCAAAGGGATCCCGGGGATGGTCCCAAAGGGATCCCGGGGATGGTCCCAGAGGGATCACTGGGATGGTCCCAAAGGGATCCCGGGGATGGTCCCAAAGGGATCCCGGGGATGGCCCCAGAGGGATTGGGAATGTTTGATCCTGGAATGATCCCAAAGGGAGCAGGATGTTCCCAAAAGGATCGGGATTGTCCCAAGGGGATCAGGATGTTTGATCCTGGAATGTTCCCAGAGGGATCCCGGGGATGTTCCCAAGGGGATGGGAATGTTCCCCAAAGGGTTTGAGATGTTCCCAAAGGGATGGGAATGGTCCCAAAGGGTTTGGAATGTTCCCAAAGGGATCGGGATGGTCCCAAAGGGTTTGGAATGTTCCCAAAAGGATGGGAACATTCCCAAAGGGATTGGAATGGTCCCAAAGGGTTCGGGATGTTCCCAGAGGGATCGGGATGTTCCCAAATGGATGGGAATGTTCCCAAAGAGATTGGGATGGTCCCAAAGGGATCAGGAACATCCCAAAGGGATTGGGATGGTCCCAAAGGGGATGGGAATGTTCCCAAATGGATGGGGATATTCCCAAAGGGATTGGGATGTTCCCAAAGGGTTTGTAATGTTCCCAAAGGGATCAGGATGGTCCCAAAGGGTTTGAGATGTTCCCAAAGAGATGGGAATGTTCCCAAAAGGATGGGAATGTTCCCAAAGGGATGGGGATGGTCCCAAAGAGATTGAGATGGTCTCGAAGGGATCGGGATGTTCCCAAGGGGATGGGAATGTTCCCAAATGGATGGGGATGTTCCCAAAGGGATGGGAATGGTCCCAAGGGGATTTGGAATGTTCCCAAAGGGATGGGAACATTCCCAAAGGGATTGGGATGGTCCCAAAGGGATCGGGATGTTGCCAAAGGGATTGAGATGTTCCCAAGGGGATGGGAATGTTCCCAGAGGGATCAGGATTGGGATATTTGATCCCGGAATGTTCCCAGAGGGACTGGGATGCTCCCAAAGGGTTCTGGATGGTCCCAATGGATCAGGATGGTCCCAAAGGGCTCAGGATATTCCCAAGGGGATGGGAATGTTCCCAGAGGGATCGCCGGGACCGCAGAGGCTGTTCCAGGGGAACATCCCAAACCCGGGATCACGAACGGGGAAGGCCTCGGAAGGATCCCAGGGATGAATTCCAGAGGCTGCTCCAAGCCCTGTTCTACCTTCCCTGGGACAATCCCACGGATTCCCGGGAAAACTCTGCCAGTGCCTCCTCCTTCCTCCTCCTCCTCCCAGTTTTATCCCTGGGCACATCGGGGTGGGAAATCCGTGGGATCAGCTGGGATTGGTTTTCCATCCCCATTTCCCATCCCTGTTCCCATCCCCATTTCCCAACCCTGTTTTTCCAACTCTGTTCCCATTCCCATTCCCCATTCCTGTTCCCCATTCCGGTTTCCCATCCCCATTCCTATCCCTGTTTCCCATTCCCATTTCCCATTTCCCATTCCCATTCCCATCCCCATTTCCCATCCCCATTCCCATTTCCCATCCCCATTTCCCATCCCCATTTCCCATTCCCATCCCCATTTCCCATCCCTATTCCCATTTCCCATCCCCATTTCCCGTTCCCATCTCCATTTCCCATCCCTGTTCCCATCATTTCCCATCCCCATTTCCCATCCCCATTCCCATTTCCCATCCCCATTTCCCATTCCCATTTCCCATCCCCATTCCCATTTCCCATCCCCACTTCCCATCCCAGCTCCCTGTGCTGCCCGGAATTCCCCTCTGGAGCTGGGGCTGGATCTGCAGGATCTCCGTTTTTTAGGGAACAAACCCAGGGAATGGAGTCGGAATCTGGGAGAACATTAGGAGGGCTGGAAGGAGCTTTCCTAAAAGTCTGACTCCGGAGTGGGATCAGAATATCCCGTGGGAATCGTGGAATATTTCAGGCCAGGAATTGTGACCGTTCCTGACATTGCCGAGGCCACCCTGGATCCGTGACCCTGAAATCCCCCGGGATTTAAATCCCACCGGGAACGGGATTAAAAGTCCGGGAATGGGGGACTCCTGCTGGGAATTCCAGGCAGGAACTGTTCCCAAAATCCAACAGAACTTCCCATGGAAGCTCGAGGCCGTTCCCTCCCATCCCGTCAGTGATTCCCAAGGAGCTGATCCGGGATTTCCTGTGGGATCAGCAGATCCCGGTGGATTTCCCATGGGATCAGCAGGTCCCGATCCCAGTGGATTTCCCGTGGGATCAGCAGATCCTGGTGGATTTCCCGTGGGATCAGCAGATCCCGGTGGATTTCCCATGGGATCGGCAGGTCCCGGTGGATTTCCAGTGGGATCAGCAGATCCCGGTGGATTTCCTGTGGGATCGGCAGATCCCGGTGGATTTCCCGTGCGATCAGCAGCAGCAGGTCCCAGTGGATTTCCCGTGGGATCAGCAGATCCCAGTGGATTTCCCGTGGGATCAGCAGATCCCGGTGGATTTCCCGTGGGATCAGCAGATCCCGGTGGATTTCCCGTGGGATCACCGGGAATTCTCCCCGCAGAGCCCGGCCCCGTGTCCGTGACCATCCCGGCCTCTCCCTTCATGCAGAAGTTGGGATTTGGCACCGGAGTCAGCGTCTACCTGATGAAAAGGTTGGGAATGGCCTTGGGAATCCCGGGAAATCCCGGAGACGATCCCGGTTTTCCTCCCCGTGGATACGGAGCCGAGGGAGGGATTTGGGATTTGTGGAGCCAGGAGGGAGGGCGGGGTTTTGGGATAACCCTGTCCTGGATGGAATTCTGGGATTTTGGGCTCCATTCCTGGGAATTCCGGGATTTTGGGCTCCATTTTTTTGGGATAACCCTGTCCTGACTGGAATTCTGGGATTTTGGGCTCCATTATTGTGGAATAACCCTTTCCCAGCTGGAATTCCAGGATTTGGGCGCCATTCCTGTGAATCCAGGGATTTGGGCTCCATTATTTTGGGATAATCCACTCCCAGCTGGAATCGCAGGGATTGGGGCTCCATTCCTGTGAATTTAGGGATTTGGGCTCCATTATTTTGGGATAATCCACTCCCAGCTGGAATCCAGGGATTTGGGCTCCATTCCTGTGAATCCAGGGATTGGGGCTCCATTATTTTGGGATAATCCATTCCCAGCTGGAATCCCAGGGATTGGGGCTCCATTATTTTGGGATAATCCATTCCCAGCTGGAATCCCAGGGATTGGGGCTCCATTATTTTGGGATAATCCATTCCCAGCTGGAATCCCAGGGATTGGGGCTCCATTATTTTGGGATAATCCATTCCCAGCTGGAATCCCAGGGATTTGGGCTCCATCTGGGAAACGGGAACGGATTGAAATTCCCCGTTCCCCTGAAAACTCCCCGGAGGAATCTGCAGCATTCCCGTCCCGCGGGGGGGATCGGATCCTTTCCCGGCGGGAATTCCGCGGGAATTCCCGAGTTTTCCCCCGCCCAGGTCCCCGCGGGGGCTGCCCCGCTCTCCGTGGGCCGTGAAGAAAATCAATTCCGGCTGCTCCCAGAGCCAGCGGAGGCTCTTCCAACGGAGGCTCCGGCAGGAGGCCCAGACCCTGCGGAACCTGCAGCACCCCAACATCGTGGGTGGGAATCCGCCGGGAATGCCGGGGGCGGGATCCGCGGGAATGGAGGAATATCTGTGGGAATGGGGCTGGATCCGTGGGAAGGGGGTTGGGTTTGATGGGAATGGAGGAATATCCATGGGAATGGGGCTAGATCCGTGGGAATGGAGAAATATCCATAGGAATGGGGCGGGATCCATGGGAATGGGACAGGATCCATGGGAATGGGGCTGGATCCGTGGGAAGGGGGTTGGGTTTGATGGGAATGGAGGAATATCCATGGGAATGGGGCTAGATCCGTGGGAATGGAGAAATATCCATAGGAATGGGGCGGGATCCATGGGAATGGGACAGGATCCATGGGAATGGGGCTGGATCCGTGGGAAGGGGGTTGGGTTTGATGGGAATGGAGGAATATCCATGGGAATGGGGCTAGATCCGTGGGAATGGAGAAATATCCATAGGAATGGGGCGGGATCCATGGGAATGGGACAGGATCCATGGGAATGGGGCTGGATCCGTGGGAAGGGGGTTGGGTTTGATGGGAATGGAGGAATATCCATGGGAATGGGGCTAGATCCGTGGGAATGGAGAAATATCCATAGGAATGGGGCGGGATCCATGGGAATGGGACAGGATCCATGGGAATGGGGCTGGATCCGTGGGAAGGGGGTTGGGTTTGATGGGAATGGAGGAATATCCATGGGAATGGGGCTAGATCCGTGGGAATGGAGAAATATCCATAGGAATGGGGCGGGATCCATGGGAATGGGACAGGATCCATGGGAATGGGGCTGGATCCGTGGGAAGGGGGTTGGGTTTGATGGGAATGGAGGAATATCCATGGGAATGGGGCTAGATCCGTGGGAATGGAGAAATATCCATAGGAATGGGGCGGGATCCATGGGAATGGGACAGGATCCATGGGAATGGGGCTGGATCCGTGGGAAGGGGGTTGGGTTTGATGGGAATGGAGGAATATCCATGGGAATGGGGCTAGATCCGTGGGAATGGAGAAATATCCATAGGAATGGGGCGGGATCCATGGGAATGGGACAGGATCCATGGGAATGGGGCTGGATCCGTGGGAAGGGGGTTGGGTTTGATGGGAATGGAGGAATATCCATGGGAATGGGGCTAGATCCGTGGGAATGGAGAAATATCCATAGGAATGGGGCGGGATCCATGGGAATGGGACAGGATCCATGGGAATGGGGCTGGATCCGTGGGAATGGGGCTGGATCCGTGGGAATGGGGCTGGATCCGTGGGAATGGAGAAATATCCATGGGAATGGGGCGGGATCCATGGGAATGGGACAGGATCCATGGGAATGGGGCTGGATCCGTGGGAATGGAGAAATATCCATGGGAATGGGGCAGGATCCATGGGAATGGGGCTGGGTTTGATGGAAATGGAGGAATATCCATGGGAATGGGGCTGGATCCATGGGAATGGCGAAATATCCATGGGAATGGGGCTGGGTTTGATGGAAATGGGGTGAGATCCGTGGGACTGGGGCTGGGTTTGATAGGAATGGAGAAATATCCATGGGAGTGGGGCTGGATACATGGGAATGGGGTGGGATCCATTTGGAATGGAAGTGTTGGATCCATGGGAATGAGGTTGGATTTGTTGGGAATTAGATTGGACCCATGGGTATGGAGGGGATGGGTTTGTTGGGAGCTGGATTGGATCCGTGGAAATGGAGGTCGGATTTGTTGGGAATGGAGGGGTTGAATCCATGGGAAGGGAGGAGCAGGACCCATGGGAATGTGGATGGATCCATGGGGATGAAGGGGTTGGATTTGTTGGGAATGGAGGGGTTCCCATTCCCACGGCTCCCGTTCCATGGCTCCTGTTCCCATTCCCGCTGCTCCCGTTCCCATTCCCCTGGATCCCGTTCCCATTCCCACGGTTCCCATTCCCGTTCCCACGGATCCCATTCCCATTCCTACGGATCCCGTTCCATGGCTCCTGTTCCCATTCCCGTGGCTCCCGTTCTCGTTCCCCTGGATCCCGTTCCCATTCCCGTGGCTCCCGTTCCCATTCCTACGGATCCCATTCCCGTGGATCCCATTCCCATTCCCACAGCTCCTGTTCCCGGTCCCACGGCTCCCATTCCCATTCCCATGGTTCCCATTCCCACAGCTCCCGTTCCCATTCCCATGGTTCCCGTTCGATGGCTCCCGTTCCCATTCCTACAGCTCCCGTTCCCATTCCCGCGGCTCCCGTTCCCCTGGATCCCAATCCCACAGCTCCCGTTCCCATTCCCGCGGCTCCCGTTCCCCTGGATCCCATTCCCACAGCTCCCGTTCCCATTCCCACAGCTCCCGTTCCCATTCCCACAGCTCCCGTTCCCGCGGATCCCGTTCCCATGGTTCCCATTCCCACGGATCCCGTTCCCATTCCCGTGGTTCCCGTTCCAGGGTACCGGGCGCTGACCAAGGCTCCGGACGGGAGCCTTTGCCTGGCCATGGAATTCGGGGGGGAGAAATCCCTGAACGACCTGATCGAGGAGCGCCGGGAGCAGGGCCTGGGAATGTTCCCGGCGGAAACCATCCTGCACGTGGCCCTCAGCATGGCCAAGGGCCTGGAGGTACCGGGAATTCCGGGGAAACCTCGGGAATTCTGGGGAGTTCCCGGGAAAAACCCTGCGGTTTTGGGGAAGTGGCGGGATTCTGGGAAAATCCCAGGGTTCTGGGATAAAGGAGAGCCAAGGGGGCTTTCCAGATGCTGGGGGGGTTGGGATAGGGGTGGGTGGGATCTTGGGAAGGAATTCCAGGCTGGGCTAGAATTCCCAAAGAATCCCTGGCAGTGTCCAGGGAAAGGTTGGAGCTCCCTGGGATCGGGGTGGGAAAGGGATGGGATTGAAGGTAGGTCCCATCCCAAACTGTTCTGGGATTCTGGGATCCAGGACACTCAGGATCCATCCCGAGCGATTTTTATGGAATTCGGGGATGGAGAAGGGAAGGGAGACCCTTCCTGGAGTCCCCAATTCCCAGGGAATTCCCGAAATTCCTTCTCAGAGAGGAGTCGGGATGGGGACAGATCCAACGCCAGGCTGGGAGAGCTGGGAATGCAGGGAATTCCCGGGAAAGGAGAGCTTGGGATTGTGGGATTTGGGAAAGAATTCCCGGCTGGGCTGGAATTCCCAGAGAATCCCCAGGAGAGCCCACGGAAAGGTTGGAGCACTCTGGGATCAGGGTTGGAATAGGATGGGATTGAAGGTCCCATCCCAAACTGTTCTGGGATCCAGGACACTCAGGATCCGTCCTGAAAGATTTTTATGGAATTCGGGGATGGAGAAGGGAAGGGAGACCCTTCCTGGAGTCCCAAATTCCCAGGGAATTCCTGAAGTTCCTTCTCGTAGAGGAGCTGGGATGGGAATGGATCCAACGCCAGGCTGGGAGAGCTGGGAATGCAGGGAATTCCTCGGGAAAGGAGAGCTTGGGATTGTGGGATTTGGGAAAGAATTCCCGGCTGGGCTGGAATTCCCAGAGAATCCCTGGGAGAGCCCAAGGAGCGGCCGCAGGACTGGGCAGATCCATGAGATCCCCCCCAATCCGCGGATTCCGCGCCGGGCGGTTTGGAGGCGGGGTTTGCCCCGGGGCTGCCCGCATCCCGCGGCGTTCCCGGCATTCCCGGCGTTCCCGGCATTCCCGGCGTTCCCGGCGTTCCCCCGCAGTACCTGCACACGGAGCAGCGGCTGCTGCACGGCGACATCAAGTCCGCCAACGTGGTGGTGCGCGGCGCCTTCCAGGCCGTCAAGATCTGCGACGTCGGCGTCTCGCTGCCCCTGGATGAGAACCTGGAAGGTGGGAGTATGGAGCCCGCCGGGAATTCCCGGGAATGGGGGGGCTCCTGGGAACGGGGGGTTCCTGGGAATGGGGGGTTCCTGGGAATGGGGGGGCTCCCGGGAATGGGGGGGCTCCCGGGAAGGGGGGGGCTCCTGGGAATGTAGAGTTCCTGGGAATGTGGGGTTCCTGGGAATGGGGGGTTCCTAGGAATGGGGGGTTCCTGGGAATGTGGGATGGGATGTGGGACACCCATTCCCGTGGATCCCATTCCCATTGACATGGATCCCATTCCCATGGATCCCATCTCCATTCCCATTGTGGTGGGATTCCTGGGAATGGGGGGTTCCTGGGAATGGGGGGGCTCCCGGGAATGGGGGGGCTCCCGGGAAGGGGGGGGCTCCTGGGAATGTAGAGTTCCTGGGAATGTGGGGTTCCTGGGAATGGGGGGTTCCTAGGAATGGGGGGTTCCTGGGAATGTGGGATGGGATGTGGGACACCCATTCCCGTGGATCCCATTCCCATTGACATGGATCCCATTCCCATGGATCCCATCTCCATTCCCATTGTGGTGGGATTCCTGGGAATGGGGGGTTCCTGGGAATGGGGGGGCTCCCGGGAATGGGGGGGCTCCCGGGAAGGGGGGGGCTCCTGGGAATGTAGAGTTCCTGGGAATGTGGGGTTCCTGGGAATGGGGGGTTCCTAGGAATGGGGGGTTCCTGGGAATGTGGGATGGGATGTGGGACACCCATTCCCGTGGATCCCATTCCCATTGACATGGATCCCATTCCCATGGATCCCATCTCCATTCCCATTGTGGTGGGATTCCTGGGAATGGGGGGTTCCTGGGAATGGGGGGGCTCCCGGGAATGGGGGGGCTCCCGGGAAGGGGGGGGCTCCTGGGAATGTAGAGTTCCTGGGAATGTGGGGTTCCTGGGAATGGGGGGTTCCTAGGAATGGGGGGTTCCTGGGAATGTGGGATGGGATGTGGGACACCCATTCCCGTGGATCCCATTCCCATTGACATGGATCCCATTCCCATGGATCCCATCTCCATTCCCATTGTGGTGGGATTCCTGGGAATGGGGGGTTCCTGGGAATGGGGGGGCTCCCGGGAATGGGGGGGCTCCCGGGAAGGGGGGGGCTCCTGGGAATGTAGAGTTCCTGGGAATGTGGGGTTCCTGGGAATGGGGGGTTCCTGGGAATGGGGGGGCTCCCGGGAATGGGGGGGCTCCCGGGAAGGGGGGGGCTCCTGGGAATGTAGAGTTCCTGGGAATGTGGGGTTCCTGGGAATGGGGGGTTCCTGGGAATGGGGGGGCTCCCGGGAATGGGGGGGCTCCCGGGAAGGGGGGGGCTCCTGGGAATGTAGGGTTCCTGGGAATGTGGGGTTCCTGGGAATGGGGGGTTCCTGGGAATGGGGGGTTCCTGGGAATGTGGGATGGGATGTGGGACACCCATTCCCGTGGATCCCATTCCCATTGTCATGGATCCCATTCCCATGGATCCCATTCCTATTCCCATGGATCCCATGTCCCATTCCAATGGATCCCATCTCCATTCCCATTGTGGTGGGATTCCTGGGAATGTGGGGTTCCTGGGAATGTGGGGTTCCTGGGAATGGGGGGCTCCTGGGAACGTGGGATCCCTGGGAATGTGGGGTTCCCGGGAATGTGGGATGGGATGTGGGACTGCCATTCCCATGGATCCCATTCCCATTGTCATGGATCCCATTCCCATGGATCCCATTCCTATTCCCATGGATCCCATGTCCCATTCCAATGGATCCCATCTCCATTCCCATTGTGGTGGGATTCCTGGGAATGTGGGGTTCCTGCGAATGTGGGGTTCCTGGGAATGTGAGATTCCCATCCCATGGATCCCATTCCCATGGAACACATCCCGTCCCATTCCCATGGATCCCGTTCCTATGGATCCTGTTCCTATTCCCATGGATCTCATCCCCATTCCCATGGATCCCATCTCCATTCCCGTTGTAGTGGGATTCCTGAAAAGGTGACATTCCCATTTCCATGGATCCCATTCCTATTGGGATGGGATCCCCAGGAATGTGGGATCCCCGGGAATGTGGGATCCCTGGGAATGTGGGATCCCCTGGAATGTGGGATCCCCGGGAATGTGGGATCCTCTGGAATGTGGGATCCCCGGGAATGTGGGATCCCCAGGAATGTGGGATCCCCAGGAATGCTGCTCTCCAGGGAATTCCGGGCCTCCCGCACTCCAGAGCTTCCCCTGGATTCCCACGGAATCCCATTCCAGGCTTTTGGGGCTTTCAGGGATGCGGCTCCGAGGCTGGGCTGGGAGCAGCGGGAATGGGGGCGGGAAAACCCAGGGGTCATTCCCAGCCAAAGCCTCCGATATCCCGATATTCCTTGGATCCCGATATCCCTTTGATCCCTTTGATCCCTCTGATATCCCAATATTCCTGGCTGCAGTGAGTGATCCCATTGCTGATATCCCTCTGATATCCCTTTGATCCCATTCCCGATATCCCAATACCCCTTTGATGCCATTCCCAATATCCCCGTGATCCCGATATCCCTTTGATCCCTTTCCCGATATCCCAGTACCCCTCTGATCCCATTCCCGATATCCCTTTGATCCCTCTGATATCCCGATATCCCGATACCCTCTGATACCCCATTCCCGCTACCTCTCTGATATCCCAATATCCCTTTGATCCCTCTGATATCCCGATATCCTGATATCCCTCTGATATCCCGATATCCCGTTATCCCTCTGATATCCCAATGATATCCCGATATCCTTCTGATATCCCAATGATATCCCGATACCCTTCTGATATCCCAATGATATCCCGATATCCTTCTGATATCCCAATGATATCCCGATATCCTTCTGATATCCCAATGATATCCCGATACCCTCTGATATCCCAATATCCCTTTGATCTCTCTGATATCCTGATATCCCGGGCCACAGTGAGCGATCCCATGGCCCATATCCCGATATCCCAATATCCCGATATCCCTCTGATATCCCGATACCCTCTGATATCCTGATATCCCTTTGATCCCTCTGATATCCCGATATCCTCTGATATCCCAATATCCCAATATCCCTCTGATATCCCAATGATATCCCAATACCCTCTGATATCCCAATGATATCCCGATATCCCTCTGATATCCTGATATCCCTTTGATCCCTCTGATATCCCGATATCCCGATACCCCTGTGATATCCCAATATCCCGATACCCTCTGATATCCCGATATCCCGATATCCCTCTGATATCTCTCTGATATCCCAATATCCCGATATCCCTCTGATATCCCGATATCCCGCAGTCAGCGCGCCGTCGCCGTGCTACGTGGGCACGGAGCCGTGGCTGCAGTGAGCGATCCCGTGGCCCATATCCCGATATCCCGATATCCCGATACCCTCTGATATCCCAATATCCCGATATCCCTCTGATATCCCGATATCCCGCAGTCAGCGCGCCGTCGCCGTGCTACGTGGGCACGGAGCCGTGGCTGCCTCCGGAGGCGCTGGATCCGGCCGGCGCCATCTCGGACCGCGCCGACATCTTCGCCTTCGGCCTGACGCTCTGGGAGATGCTGGCCCTGAGCGTGCCCCACATGCCCCTGCCCCACAGCGACTCCGAAGGTCGGGAATAACGACGGGAATAACGGGAATAACGGGCGTGCCCGACGGGGAACGGGCACCGGGAAGGGATCCGGGGAATGCTCGAGGGGGAAAGGGGATCCGGGATTGGGGAGAGGGGTGGAGGGGAAAGGGGAATGGAAGGGGATGGGATTCCCGCTGGGAAAGGGGAGCTTGGGATTCTGGGATCTTGGGAAGGAATTCCTCACTGCAGGGTGGGGAGGGGGCCGGGCTGGAATTCCCAGAGGATCCCTGGGAGGATCAGGGCCGGGATCGGGCCGGGATTCCCGGGATCCACTCCTGACAGCTGCTCCCTGCTGCCGTTCCAGAGGGTTGGGATCGTGGGATTTTGGGGTCTTGGGAAGGAATTCCTGGTTGGGAAGTCCTGGGCTGGAATTCCCGGAGGATCCATGGGAGGATGAGGGCCGCAGCACCGGCAACACCAATGGCAGCACCGGCAACACCAATGGCAGAACCAGCGCCGGCGGCACCGGCTGAGCCGCGCCCAGCCAGGGATGGAACCCAGCGGGAATGCCGGGAACACGGAGATGGAAGGCTGGGATGACGGAGCGGGAGAACGGAGATAGAACGGAGTGGGAAGTCTGGGATAATGGAGTGGGGATTCTGGGATAAGGGAGCGGGAATTCTGGGATAACGGAGGTGGAAGGCTGGGAAAACGGAGCGGGAGTTCTGGGATAATGGAGCGGGAATTCTGGGAAAATGGAGTGGGAATTCTGGGATAACGGAGATGGAAGTCTGGGAAAATGGAGTGGGAGTTCTGGGATAATGGAGATGGAAGGCTGGGATAACAGAGCAGGAATTCTGGGAAAATGGAGTGGGAATTCTGGGAAAATGGAGTGGGAATTCTGGGAAAATGGAGCAGAAATTCTGGGAAAACGGAGCGGGAATTCTGGGATAACAGAGCGGGAATTCTGGGAAAACGGAGCTGGAAGTCGGGGGTGATGGAGAGGGAATTCTGAGATAACAGAGTGGGAAGTCCAGGATAACGGAGTGGGAATTCTGGGATAACGGAGCGGGAAAACGGAGCGGGAAGTCTGGGATAACAGAGGTGAAAGTCTGGGATAACTGAGCGGGAATTCTGAGATAACAGAGCGGGAAGTCCGGGATGATGGAGTGGGAATTCTGGGAAAATGGAGCAGGAAAATGGAGCTGGAAGTCTAGGGTGATGGAGCAGGGATTCTGGGATAACGGAGCGGGAATTCTGGGAAAATGGAGATGGAATTCTGGGATAACGGACTGGGAAGTCTGGGAAAATGGAGCGGGAATTCTGGGATAACGGAACGGGAAGTCTGGGATGATGGAGTGGGAATTCTGGGAAAATGGAACAGGAAGTCTGGGATAACAGAGCAGGAAAACAGAGCGGGAATTCAGGGAAAATGGAGCCCTGAGGGACTGGGATAACAACAGAGCAGGAATTCCAGAGTCCTGAGAAACTGGGATAATAGAGCAGGAATTCCCAGAATTCCAGAGCCCTGAGAGCCCAGGACAATGCAGCTGGGATTCCTGGGATTATGGAGCCTTGACCTGGCCAGAATTCCAGAGCCTGGCATTCCTGGAATTCCAGAGACCAGCATTCCTGGGATAATGGAGCTGGCATTCCAGGGTTCCAAAGCCGGAATTCCCAGGGTTCTGGAGTCCTGGGAATTCTTGGCCCTCCTGGAATTCCATTGGGATGTGGTTCTGGAGCCTGGGATTCCAGAGCTTAACATTCCCAAGGCCCTGACATTCCTGGAATTCCAGAACCTGCCATTCCCAGACTTCCAGAGGGATGTGGCTCCAGAGCCTGATGTCAGAATTCCAGAGCTCTGACATTCCCAGATTTCCAGCAGGATGCGATGTCAGAGCCTTGAACCTCCCGGAATTCCAGAGGCTCACAGTCCTGGAGCCCTGACATCCCCAGAATTCCAGAGCCTGGCAATCCTGGAATTCCAGATGTGGCATTCCCAGAATTTCAGATCCCTGCCATTCCCGGAATTCCAGATTCATTACATTCCTGGAATTCTGGATCCCTGCCATTCCCAGATTTCTGGATTCATGACGTTCCCAGAATTCTGGATCCCTGCCATTCCCAGAATTCCAGATCCCTGCCATTCCCAGAATTCCAGTTCCCTGCCATTCCCAGAATTCCAGATTCATTACATTCCTGGAATTCTGGATCCCTGCCATTCCCAGATTTCTGGATTCATGACGTTCCCAGAATTCCAGATCCCTGCCATTCCTGGAATTCCAGATTCATTACATTCCCAGAATTCCAGATTCATTACATTCCTGGAATTCTGGATCCCTGCCATTCCCAGATTTCTGGATTCATGACGTTCCCAGAATTCCAGATCCCTGCCATTCCTGGAATTCCAGATTCATTACATTCCCAGAATTCCAGATTCATTACATTCCTGGAATTCTGGATCCCTGCCATTCCCAGATTTCTGGATTCATGACGTTCCCAGAATTCCAGATCCCTGCCATTCCTGGAATTCCAGTTCCCTGCCATTCCCAGAATTCCAGTTCCCTGCCATTCCCAGATTTCCTCAGGCCGCGCTCCGGAGCCAGGGTTGGATTTTCCCACTTTTTAGGTTGGATTTCCTTCATTTTCCCACTTTTTTGGGGTTGGATTTTCCCTCTTTTTTGGGCTGGAATTCCCAATTTGGAGTTGGAATTTCCCTCATTTTTTCATTGGGTTTTCCCAGTTTCCAGGTTGGATTTCCTTCATTTTCCCACTTTTTTGGGGTTGGATTTTCCCTCTTTTTTGGGCTGGAATTCCCAATTTGGAGTTGGAATTTCCCTCATTTTTTCATTGGGTTTTCCCACTTTTCCAGGCTGGATTCCCCAAGTTTGAGGTTGGATTTTCCCAAGTTTTTAGGGTTGGATTTTCCCTGTTTTTTTCCTGCATTTTCCCTCTTTTTTGGGCTGGAATTTCCCTCCTTTGGGTCAGGTTTTCCCTCCTTTTCCAGCTGGAATTTCCCTCTTTTTTTGGTTGGAATTTCCTTCATTTTTGAGTTGGATTTTCCCTTTTTTTGGCTGGATTTCCCTCATTTTTCCCTCTTTTGGGGCTTGGATTTTCCCAAGTTTTTTCCTGGATTTTCCCTCTTTTAGGTCAGATTTTCTCTCTGTTTCCAGTTGGATTTTCCCTCTTTTTTTTGGGCTGGAATTCCCAAATTTAGCTTGGATTTTCCCTCATTTTAGCTTGGATTTTCCCTCATTTTCCCTCTCTTTGGGGTTTGGATTTTCCCTCTTTTTCAGCTCAGATTTTCCCAAATTTTCAGCTTGAATTCTCCCAGCTTTGGGGTTGGATTTTCCCTCTTTTTTTGGGCTGGAATTCCCAATTTGGAGTTGGAATTTCCCTCATTTTTTCATTGGGTTTTCCCACCTTTCCAGGTTGGATTCCCCAAGTTTGTTGTTGGATTTTCCCAAGTTTTTAGGGTTGGATTTCCCTCGTTTGGGGCTTGGATTTTCCCAAGTTTTTTCCTGGATTTCCCCTCTTTTAGGTCAGATTTCCCCTCTTTTTTCCAGTTGTAATTTTCCCTCTTTTTTGGGCTGGAATTCCCGGAGTTTTCCCCTTGGATTTTCCCGAGTTTTCCCTCAAGAACGTTCCCAATAAATAAAAATTTCTTCCTCTCTCTGGGGTTTGGATTTTTCCTTTCCTTGGGATTTGGCTTTTCCAGAGGGACGGGAGCTTGGATGGGATTCGGGTGCTCTGAGGGGGAAAAAATTCCCAAAAAACCTCGGAATATTCCCAAAAAACCTAAAATATCCCCAAAAAAACCTGGAATATTCCCATAAAACCTTGGAATATCCCCAAAAAAACGCAGAATATCCTCATAAAACTTTGGAATATCCCCCAAAAAACCCTGGAATATTCCCATAAAACCCTGGAATATCCTCATAAAATCATGGAATATTTCCATAAAACCTTGGAATATCCCCAAAAAAACGCAGAATATCCTCATAAAACTTTGGAATATCCCCCAAAAAACCCTGGAATATTCCCATAAAACCCTGGAATATCCTCATAAAATCATGGAATATTTCCATAAAACCTTGGAATATCCCCAAGAAAACGCAGAACCATGGAATATTCCCATAAAACCTTGGAATATCCCCAAAAAAACCCCTGGAATATCCACAGAAAATCATGGAATATTTCCATAAAACCTTGAAGTAACAGAAAATCTCGGAGTATTTTCAGACATTTATGGAACAGCATCAGAAAATCTTGGAATATTTTCAGAAAACCTTGGAACAGCATCATGAAACCCTGGAATATTGTCAGAAATTTATGGAATATCAATGGAAAACCTTAGGATATTGTCAGAAATGGATGGAATATCAAAGGAAAACCTTGGGATATTGTCAGAAATTTGTGGAATATCACAGGAAAATTCTGGAATGTTGTCAGAAATGTATGGAATATCACAGGAAAACCTTGGGATATTGTCAGAAATGTATGGAATATCACAGGAAAACCTTGGGATATTGACAGAAATGTATGGAATATCACAGGAAAACCTTGGGATATTGTCAGAAATGTATGGAATAACTTCAGAAAACCTTGGGATATTGTCAGAAATGTATGGAATATCACAAGAAAACCTTGGGATATTGACAGAAATTTATGGAATAACTTCAGGAAACCTTGGGATATTGACAGAAATGTTGGGAATATCAAAGGAAAACCTTGGGATATTGATAGAAATGGATGGAATATCAAAGGAAAACCTTGGGATATTGACAGAAATGGATGGAATATCATAGGAAAACCTTGGGATATTGACAGAAATGGATGGAATATCATAGGAAAACCTTGGGATATTGACAGAAATGGATGGAATATCATAGGAAAACCTTGGGATATTGACAGAAATGTATGGAATATCACAGGAAAACCTTGGGATATTCCCACAAAGGCCTGGAATTCCCTGCCTGGGAGGCTCCCAGGGGGAAAAGCCTGGGGCAGAATTCCCGGCACAATTCCAAGAGAACGGGAAAAGCCAAT